CATATTGTAAATAATCTTTTTAATGCTTTAGAAGAGGTGCTTTGCTCAGACCACGTGATCTGAGCAAAGCATTTGACTGTGTTAATCATCTCATTCTTCTAAACAAATTAGCTCATTGTGGTTTTCAAGGCTGTGAATTAGATTTATTGGTGTCATATCTTAGTAATATAAGAAATTTTAAATCTCGTCCTGCAAGACGAGATTTTATTTTGACAGACATTACAGAAAATTAAAACGCCTGTTGAAAGTCAGTGCAATACCCGCAATACCGGAGCGCGTTGTAGTTGCGTTTCCTTTGCGAAGGCGTTCTTATTTCATTAATTCTTTACATGTAAATATTACTTAAATTGTTTGATATATTTTTTTAATTACAAATTATGAGAAGTTTTGATAAGAGTAAGCAGTGTGAGACATGTTTTACTACTGTAAACATAGCCAAAACAAGTAAGTATTTAATACAAATTGATATTGCTTTTATTTTACGAGCTGCATTTCAATAATACTTGTTATTTTAATATGCATAGTTAAATAGGTACAGGGTGTTTCAAAATTAATGACCCGGTTTTATCGCATTATAACTTTTATACTATTAAACTTACCGCTATAAAATATACACATCAAACGAAAAAGCAACTCAAAGAGTTTATGCCTTCCAAAGGCACATTATTTCAAAATCGATCCAGCAGAACTGTAGATTTAATTGTACCAAGTTAAAAAGTAATCTCCAACTTTTTTACCACTAGAAATTTGGAGGTTGATTGACGTTTTTGCAAATAACTTTTAAATGGTGAGCAAATCGACCAAAGTGGAAGGTAATATCTTATAATATTCTGAAAGAAAATATAATTTCCTACAAACTGCAATACATAAAATACATAAGCTAAACAAAATAACGTAGCTTAGTGGCTTATTATATGTTGAGTTGAACGTAGAAACTAGTTTTATAATAATTTCAACAAACCTGGTGTTCAAAATCAAAAGAATAAACCCAATAATAAAGTATTTCAAAGTTGGTTCTCGCTAGAAAGTGCGCGCTCGTTCGCAGTATATAACCAAAAACCTTCTTTTCACTCCCAAGTGGAGACCGATGGCTCCAGGTGTTCCGCGCAGGACAGACAATGTTCTGTCTATTAGCGCTCGCTGCCTGTTCACGTCGTCGCCGCTAGGTGTCGTGGGCATCGGCAGCGAGCGCTACATGGCCCTACCCTTCACCTCGGAGCCCAACTTTGTTTCCACATTTTTTATTTACTGTTTTGGTTTTTAAATACCAATGTAGATATTCTTGCAGGCTATGAACTGGCTACAACACTGTAGAGATACATTCTGAAGATGTAGGTGTAGTATTCAATAGTTATATTTATTTTAGTTCCAACAAAGTACATGGTTATAAAATGGTGTTCATGATTTTAAGAGTACATAAAATGTAGTTTATTTTTTGTACAACGAAATAAAATGGTTACAGCTTATGAAAAAACTCAAAAAGTTTCGTGAACAGAACCAGAAATGTTCCATATGGGATCCCCTTGTGATACGACTGATATTCATCCTATAGTCAAGCTCTTGCCATACTTTGACAAAAGTGTCTTGATCTATTGTTTCGATAGCATTCTGGTGATCCGTTGCTGGATCTCAGGTATGATAACTGGTAATAACGGTGTGTACACCTTATCTTTAATGTATCCCTACAAGATAAAATCACAAGGGGTGATGTCTCAAAATTTTGAAGGCCAGTTCAGATCCAACACACTAAAAGCTTTAATGTCTTCAAATTCAGCCATTACACAACAATTACAACAATAATTGACTTCACGAACAGCTGATATGCACCGAAACCAATGTGAATGAATCTTTATGAGTTTTCTTTCCAACTTAATTCCAACTATTTAGTCCACCTAAAATAGTCTTAAAACAAATTTATAATAATGTTTAAAATTATATAAATGTATTTACCCACAGTTACATTTATAATCAAAATCAGAAATATCATTTGTAATAAACCTGCATAATAAAATCGAATATGAAGCACTTAGATTTATGATTTATCCTTATTATTTAAGACAATGTATATAAACTTTGTGTTGTAATAAAACATCGTGCATACAACACATCTATTGACCTATCAGGAATCTGAAGTTGGCATGCCGAAATTTGTTATCATATGTTAGACCAGAGTCAGTTATCGATGGTTCCACAGACATTTCAGTATTTCCAGAATCTATAGTTGAAAATTTACAACTTATATGAGCAGGTTGAATTCAACTTAATCAATATGAAAAGAGTTTGATCAATGGAGTGTAAATCAATTGATTTGTTGATTATCGTAGATTGATATCTGAAAGTTGAAAGTTGTATACATCGATATATATAAACACAATTATGATATTGTGTTTATATATCGATGGTTGTATATACTCTAAAGGCTAGTACTCACTAGGACACCCGGTCGCTTATCAACCGGCGATCTGGTTGACGAGCGACCAAATTGCACAAATATCGCCGTGTGTGTACGTGTCTGTCAATTTGGTTGACGGCGATTTGTAGGTTGCCAGGCAACTTTTTGGTTTTCGGACATGTATCGAAAACCTGGGGGTTTCCGATCAACCATTTTATCGCCGGGCAATCTGATTTCTCAAAAATCTAGAGTGTGTACGCTTCAGCGACCAAGTTGATCAATTAAAAACGGCTAGCGCATGCGCAGTACACTGTTTGTGTCAACTGTCAAAACTAAACAGTGCTAGTGCTAAACGTGGTCTCTTTCAAGCTAGCTTTTTTTCCAATATGAGGCGTCACCAATTGCAAAATGTGACGGAAATTGTCGTCTGACATCCTCAAATAATTCTTGTAATCCTGAGGATTATCATCTCGCTAAGTTCGTAGAAGTGCCATGTGGCTGTAACTGTGTCTGCGTTGAAGCCACCCTTTAGCCCAAAATCTTTTGAACAATGTCTTCCTTCTTCTATGGTTACTGCAATTAATTAGAATTATAACTGCGGCAGCAATCTCTTCTTCGTAGGTGGGCATGTTGTCACAACACACAGGTCAGTGCAACTAGAGCTCGAACCAGATTCCAGAACCAAACACAGTCCATCCCCACCAAATTTTGATTTCCTGCTCGGTTGAAAGTGCTAGGTATCCTAGTGTGTACCCCCCGGCAATAAAACGTTCAATCATCAACTTAGTCGCTCGTCAACCAGGTCGCCGGTTGATAAGCGACCGGGTGTCCTAGTGAGTACTAGCCTTAAGTCATTAGACTATGTTGGAGGTGAAAATCCAATGCTACGATGTTGTTGTGAAGTATAATTGTCGTAAAGTATAATATTTTCTTGTGCGATTCAATTTTTGATTCCTGTGGGTATTAAAAGCAGAATGCAAATGTGTTCAAAATTCTATGGTGATAAATATATTCCCTTGCAGATTTATGATCCATATTGAACACCTTAAAACAACTTTTCGTTCCGTTTATGTATAGGGTGTTTTCTTTACTATTTATTTTGCTTAACACCATATATTTCGGTATACAGTATATTATATTTCCGTTAACCCAAATTTAAACAAAAAAATCCAAGCATAACCAGCCAGTTTTATGCATGGAGTCGCGTTTGTAGTTCTATTTGTGAGGACTGAGGGGAGCATTTATCCCGAATTCAAACTAGTTGTTAAATTCGGGTCGCTGAAGCAACGCGTCGGTCTTGAACAAAATCAAATCAAATCAAATCAAATCATTTATTGTCCATTAAATGTCGGTGTCGGCGACAGTTTGTTTGTGACTAGTCGTCAAGAAGTGTTGCTTGGCACAAATATAACAAAATACATTGAATCCAAATGGTATGTTTAAGTCGGTAACAAATATACACAGATAATCTCATTCCATTCTACAATCTTCACTCATCCTATCACTCGTATTTTGGTATTACTGTATTGGTCGTTTATATACCTCCGCCACAGCAAACCTTAGACTAAGCGAATTTCCATTTACAAGTTTTGAATTTTAAACATCGATGTATAATAGGCCTAACTTGAGTTATTATACATCGATGATTTTAAATTAAATCTATTTAAGTAACATTTTAACAAGTAGGCCTACCTATGTTTACTACTACAGGGAAGGTAATAAAGTGTGTTTATTGTAAAATACTAACAGCTTAGTATAAAATAAATACATTTGCCAAGTTTGATCAAAATATATTCATAAACAAGCAAACTAGAACAGATTACATATTCTCCATAAGAATAGCATGGGAATCTAATTTAGTCTTTTGGAATTTTCTCCATGACCAATTTAAGCGCATAAAAAACACTTCAATATACAGTACTAAATTATTTGTTTTTGCCCCACAAAATGCTTTGGAAAGAAATTGAAAAATTTTATATTTTGAGGGTCAAAAATGGGGAACCCAATTTTTACCCCATAAAACCCCGTTCCCATGGTCCGATCATGATGGTTTGCGAACTCGTCAAATTTTATCCCGCCATACAACTTCAAGACAAATTTCATCAAAATCGGACAAAAATCACTCAAGTTATCGCGTTCTATATAATATATATTATGATTACAGTATATAAAATCCGTTCGCGATTAGTAGAGTAGAGTCCAGGACCTCGGGAAGTTATATTAAAATAGCGCTTTTACGACTAGGCCAGCTCGCTTCTGCGTACGAGAATTCTATTTAAACCATTTGTCTCAGCAGAAAATCTTCTTGATATTTTTTTACTTTAGAATCGTGTTTCTTATTCGCCCCAGTCTACAAACAAAACGCGCCAACCTTGCGCGTCGAAAAACAAGCGAAGTAAATCGCGTTTCGCTTTCATTGAGATTATGGGTTTGTTTACTGGACAGCAAGGAAGTGCTCTAGTCTTGTGTAATCGCAGAACGAGTTGTCCGAACGAAACCAAGAGTGAACCTAACCTTGAAACAGGAGGATGTGTGCTGCGCTGCCATTGGCTGAGACGGCAGGCGCCTCCCCTCTACCATGGAACCTCGCTGCGACGCGCCCGCAGCGGCTCGCTGCTCAGTCGATTGTTGACGTTCGTCTGCGTAGCGCGAGCTTGGGTCGCAGTTGTCTGGACACGGTTTGGTTTTCAAATGTGTTTCAAGTAACTAGTACACGACCAGAAGTGCGCTGCGTGAAAAGTGAAGTGATTTTAACCAGTGGAATACCGTTGGGAGAATCTTTTCACCGAGTGTCAAGTGATAGTTTCAGTGCATCGAGTCATGTCTACAGCAGTCATGACAAACGGATCAATCTACGAATTTAGTGAACTCCTTTTGAAGGTAGGTTGATTTGTGTTTAGGAAGTACGTACCCGGTAGTTTCGTGAAATGGCACAAAGTTGTTTAGCGCACGTGTCACATGGGTAACAGTTGGTTTGCTTCTGGGCAGTAGGCCTAGGCCTACACTATTATTTTGTTTGTTTAAACAGCGTTAGGATTGTTTATGTTGTAAGTGTATGTCCATACATTAGTGGCCTATTGCTTTGTATAGAGACCATAATCAGAACCAACCCGGATTGACATTGAACCAGCGACCTTCAAATTTGAAGCTAATCATTCTCTTACCACTTGGGTACTTTACCCAGACAATTTCGCTAATTTAAATTCAATTCCCTTTAAAAACTACAAGGTTGTTTTGAATTCCAAGGTCTAACAATTTCCATAATGTAGCCTAAGTTTAGAATGCTGCCCACTAAAAATGTCGCTGATTTGCACCTTATTCAGAAATACTGTTAATTTATTTCTCACCAACGCGTGTAAACAATTGGAAAACAACAATAATAAGTCGTAGTATTTATACCGTAGTAGGACTGTTTCTAGTTAAGTGGTGTAGACATCACAACAACAATGATAAAAACTCTGACCATAGATAAAAGGAGTAGACATAAAAGGAGTATAGACATAAAAGGAGTATAGAGTATGTCTATACTCCTTTTATCTATGCTCTGACTCAACCATAAAGGGTTACGATAATAAACGATCGCACTAATTGCATGAAGATAAAAATTATAACTTTGGTAAACAACTAAATAACAGTTGCAAGAAATAGCGCTGAGAATTAAACAACAATGTAAATAAATCAAGGTTGAGACCCTGAATTACTTTAAATGCATTGAGTACAAAAAAGTATGATTTCGGGAAAGTTGGAATGTATCCTAAACGTGTTTACATGTGTGTCTGCGCCATTTAAGTAATTGCGAATTATTAATTCTATCGGCATCCAGTAATTTTGTTCACAGTATCATTAATTTCATATTCATTTGCCATCACCCATCACCACAACAGATTAGGTGCACTTGATACTGTACCTTTAAAACACGTCTAGTTATATATATTTTATTTTTCACCAACTTAATTTCTGAACAAATTACACTATTTACGTGATGGCAGAGTAGGCTTACTCAGTATCAAACAAGGTGTCAATCACGAATACGTTAATTTGGGGTAGTTTTAAATGGTATGCTAACTGATGGCAAAACAATTTCCAAACACCACTGGGTTTCTGCAATGTATAATAACAACCCTAGTCGTAAATAATAGTACTAGTACTAGTAAATAATAGTTTTAGGCTATTATTATTTTATCAAATTATTTTGGACACATCCTCCACAAACTACTAGAAATTCTATTACAATAATGATGATAATCAACAAATACATCAACAACAATAAAGAAAGCAAGGAGTAATCACATAACTTATCAAGTAATTACAATTTATAGTACTTGATTGTATAGTTATTCCTATATTAGCCTATTACTACACGCGAAAACATTACGAAAATACGCACCATCAACACTTTTAAACCGATTTCATAAACAATACAGGGCTTTGTACAGTTACTTCCCCATATGGTTCGAAATATTTGCAAATGTTCTAGGTATTCAAATGTTTCCTCATGTTCGCTTATTCGTGCGTATTTAATTTCCAAATCGCCAAGTCCGTAAACTTCTTGGAACGGTTATTGTCCGATTTTGTCTATTCCTAGGAGTCCTTCTAGGAACGTCTTCTCACTGCTTTGTTTGTATCCCCGCATCCTAGGGCTATTATTGTCAATACGTGGAGAAAATCCGCAAGGTCAACCAGCCGTTAGGAGAGATGTCTGAAGATTTTGTTTATAAACAGCTGTTTTGTGATTTGGTTATTGATTTGGCGGGAGTGACAAAATTGGCGCCTAATTGACAGCACAATGATGTTTCGGAGTCTTAGACGAAAATGTATGGGGTTAGGCATTTAAAATGGGGTGCCATTTAAAATTATTAGTTAGTATTTTGAATCAACACGTTTACTCCATACTTTGATCGTTTTGTTAGTAAAAAGGCAGTGGAGTTTTGTTTGATTAATATTTCATTTGGAGCCAATACTGAACTGATTTTTTGTGTTCATCAATCTTGCACTCAATTATTTAGTTGAAACAATAAAGTAATACAACTTTAGTTATAAACAACTAAGTGTGACTGCTAATATAAATTTTGGACCATAATTTGGGTTTAAACATTATTTTTGGTAACACTTCAGGTTTTATATGTGTTAGGGGTATTTTTAGTGTATACTTGTGTAGTGGAACACTTTAATGCTGTATTTCTGTTATACTACCTAATTAAATGGCTAATGGCTTTTCATTTGTTAATTGTTTATAGTCTATTGTGATTGTTAACCCTTTGTGGTTAAAAGGAATTTGTACAACATACTCAAGTTACCTCTGATTATTTAGACAATGAACATTGACATTTTATGTTCTGCTCCACTGACAGTGTCAATGCATGTAAATGTCCATGACAATAAATGATTCGATTTGACTTGATTTGAATGTTTGCGATAATTACATAAATGTTAAATCCCGATAATAAACTTAAATTCGGATACAGAACCTACTATTTTGTTTGTTTTGTGATATTCTATGCAGGCTACAACTTAGACCTGTTACATATCAAGGACGCATTTTAGCACTATCCACCTCGTACTTTTCCGTATAGTGTTTACAGCTAAGTCATAGTCAGAACTGCACACAACAGCCATAGCTGTAGGGTAGCGATTCTTTGTGAGATTTCGGAAAGCAAGGTCCCACTTTCTCTTTACGAGGGGTTGCTAGTGTATAGACCCGGGGGAGGGCAACCTGTTGTTCAGGGGCAAAAACCTCCCCTAGGCCCAAACCTGACCCTCTGCACTTGTAATGCGAGGGTTCGGGGTTGGTGCCACCATTTACAATATGTCTTCTGGCACAAAGCGTTTCGTTCTGTCGTGGGTCAAAGAAGATTTTTACAGATGGCGTCGTTTTTGTTCTTATGCACTAATTTGGTCCGGATGTATGTGTTCTAATTTCGTATAATTGTTTGGAATTTATTTTCGGACAACAGTTTTAATATGGGTACGACTTAGGCTCAATCTAAGTTAAATGCTGTCATAACTTAATTTAATCGTACCGGTAGTTGTTGAACCAGTTACCTTTTAGGATGTTTAAAGTTGTTGATCCATCAGACATGATTAAATAATTTGTAATGGCAGAACGGTGAATACGAAAGCATTTTGTATCTGTTCGTCCTCTTAATTGTCCAGAAAGGGCGGTTAAAATTATTTGCTTGAGATTTTATGTCTCGTCTGATATGGTAAAAAAAATTCGTACTGTAATAATAATTCATTAGTAGGGCTATTTGGATATTTGTTTACTTTATTACTTATTAGCTTCTCATGTATGTCTACGTTATTATTTCATTTACTATTTAACACTTTGGATGGTTTAAGTTTATTTTCTAACTGAATATGCTCAACTGTATTTGAGCGCTTATTTAATTAATTTCCGTAGAGAAAGTTGCTCAGGAAATATGACCTCGCTATCTATGAATTCCAGACGTAATCGGCCATGTTAATAATTCAACACACATTATGACGATTACACAATCAATAATAAGCAATTCTAGATTACTCAAGATAGCTGTTTTTCACGTTACATTGTGTGAGCTTAATTCGACCAATGGCCTCTGTATTCCAATTTCTACCGATCTAGTTTGTTCATAGGGGCACGTAAACTTTCTGTGAGTAGGAGAGTTTAGCAAATTTCTCATATAGGTAATAGGCTATTACCATAGTATTCATGGTAAGACCTGGATCCGGGTCGATTTACTTTTTCGTTTTGAGGTCCCTAGAGGCCAAAAATACCACCCGTTCAAATTCATATAATGTAGGTCTAATGAAATGAAATGAAATGAAAAATCATTTATTTATACAGGCAAAGTTAGGGCCACATGGCCCTTTCTTACACTTAACCTGTACTTTAAAACATAATATAAATATTTTAACATAATCAGCTTATACAATAAAACAAAACAGAAATCTACAGAAACTCAGATACAGAAACTTTTATCAAAAATCAGTAAATTTTAAAAATACTTACACACACACACACACTCACTCACACATACATACAAGTCAGCGACCGCCATGCGCACAGGCCCCTACGACAAACCTACCATGGCCATACGTTCAAAATAGAGATTTTTTAGCGCTGCCACAAACCGGGAACGACTATCGAGGGATTTAATAGCTAAAGGAAGATCGTTCCAAATAATGTGTGTCCGTTAGCGCGATGAATCGCGCAAGAATGATCCGATTTTGATGAAATTTGGTACAAACGTGTGATCCGAACGTTTATTCGAACAAGTTCACGAACCAGTATAATCGGGCTGTGGGAACGGGGATTTTAGGGGTCAAAAACTGATTTTTTCCATTTTCACCTAAAACACAAAATTTCATAATTTCACTCCGAAACGTTTTGTAGAGCTCAAAAAATAAAAAATAAAATAATTGTATAGGCCTATATCGAAGTGTTGTATGCCCAACGGTTGCGGAGATAATTAGAAAAAAACTATTGTAAATTTAAAATTCCCATGTTGTTTTTATGGAGAATAAGTCAAATGTTGTAGTTTGTTTATGACCATATTTTGTTCGAATTTGGAAAATACATTAGCCTAATTTCTTACTAAACTATTGACATTTTACAACAACAAAAAACATTTTTAGAGATAGTCCTTTTTACAAGAGACATTTTAGTGTAAATCCAATCAGGCAAATGGAAGTTCGCTTCGTCTGCAGGTTTGCTGTGGCAGGGGTATTTAGCATTGAGTTTGGTACTAGTTCAATTTGTTACACATAACCACAAACAAAGAGACAATCTTATAATGTTTAGGTTCCTTATTATGTGACAACAGGCTGCACTGACACACGTGACTGTTAATGTTTAACCATGAAGGTAAACCACCCCCTTACTAAATAATAATAATAATAAT